AATCATCACAATTAATTAGAAGTTTTGAACATCTGGAAACTAAATTCTCTACAATATAAATAAATGAAACTACTGAATTCAGGGATCTTTGGGGTATTTAGAAATTATGCCTTCAATTGGAATAGAAAGAAGTCAAGAGAAATTGTGTCTTTTACATGACAAAAATATGCAAAATAGTTTGCTTAAAAATGAAAGTGCTTTAGTCCACTGAATAATGTTCTATTTCATTTTTTTTAATTTATTAAATAAAACAGTCTTCCTCATCTTTACCTATATAATCCATCAGTATAGCAAATTAGGACCCTCAAATCAGCCAGAAGTTTATAGTATAAAATTATTTTTCCAAAGATCTGTCCACCTCATAGACTATAGAATAAAACTGCTTTTGTTAAGGTTATCATTAGCCTGTTAATTGTGACTCTTGATGAACATGTTTTAGCTCTATTCTCACTCTACCTCTATGATATATTTATAATACATTCTACTATTTTTTCCTGTCTTGCTGAGAGCAGATAAATACCTATTTTGAAATATTTTTCCAATCCTTAATTTTTGTTGCTCCCCCAATTTAATCCTTGACTCACAGTTTTTGGTACTATACACTCTCCCTGAATCTTGGGCGATTCCATGTAACTTTTATGATTTTGAATGACCATCTATATGCAGATGGCCCCATAGGCTCACTTTTCAAGTCAAAGAATCCCCCCCTCCAAAGCTTTAGGCTCAGATACACAAATGTATCTCGACTGTTCTATAAGAATCTTGAACTCAACATGTATAAACTTTAATTTGTCACTCTCATCTCAACCTGTTCTCTAATTTTCCCTATGTCAGTGCCACTACCACTTGCCCAATCCTTTAAGAAACTAACTTGGAAAGTCATCTATAATCCCTTCATCTCTTTCACACTCCAGATTCAATAAATATTGAGCTAGTGTGTCCTCATCTATAGGTTTCAAATCCCCGCCCCTCGCCTTTAATATGGCCCTATTACTGTGCTATATTATGGAACCTCATCTCGTCTCTGAATTGTAACAACAGTCTCCCCATCATGATCCTATTTTCCGTTTTATATGTTCCCCCAAGCTTCTAAAACAACCTACCTAAAACACAAAGATGTACATCCAAGTCTCCACGTTTCCTCTTAGACAAGCAAAAATCTCCACAATTAAATCTACAAGGTGTTTCATGATTGGGTCTCTTCATGCCTCCACAGCTTCACCTATGTGTCTCTTTCTACTTTTCTCTTTACAGGAGCTGTGCGTGCATCCTTGAACCTCCCACAGTGACTCTCTCCCTAAGAGCAGATAAAGTATGGGTTCTTTGCTTCAATGGGTTAACCCTATAGTCTCCTTTTAGATTTTGTTCAGTGACCTCTTGTAACACGTTGTCCGGCTTTTGACACCAGCTCATATTAAGTTCCTATTCTCTGTGATCCTAAGTGTCCATGCATATCTCTATTACTTCATTACAAATATATATATGCATTTCTCTCTTCCTCTCCCTTTACTTTTGACCTTGAGAGAAGTGCCTGGATAATACTCATGTTTACATCCACGATACCAGGCACAGTGCCCAACATATGGTAAGTTTTCAATAAACTGTTTCTAGGTGAATGAATGCTAGTTCTAAATTTCCACAAAAGATATTTACATGGGATACTCTCACCTTTTCCACTGTATCCAGATAAAAGCTTTAGTGTAAACAATACAAGAGGAAATTATTTTACCATCATCAAAATAAGATGATGATACATCGACTAGGAAGTATTTATTAGCTATCGGGCACTGTGTTAAGTGGTTTTATGCATTTTCCTCACTCATATTAGCTCTATGAAACAGATACTGTTATACTCACTTTACTCGCAAAGTGGCAAAGGCTTAAAGAGATCAAGTTTCCCTAAATCACACAATTACGAGGAGTTGGGATTGTGATTTGAAGGCACAACCCTGCCTCCATTCTTTCTCTAGTGTTAAGGGGGGAAATACATTAAATGGCTATGTAGGAGTTCATAGAACCTCAGAAAAAGATGATCTTTGTATTGAGCACTGAAGATTGAGTAGATACTTCTTAGGGAAACACACCCATACAAACAGGCATTTCAGGCTGGGGAAAAAAAAAGTCTGTCTGGACTAAACAAAGGGAGAATCATGGAGTGATCATAAGAGTAAGAAGAACCTCTGGACCCTGTGATGTGGAGGTTATTGACAGGGAAGGGCCTGGAAAGGCGTGTTTGACCAAGTCTCCCAAGGGCTATGGATACTATGCAAAGAAGTTTGGAATTTTTCCTGAATTAGATGATCATTTTTTTATTTTTAAATAAAATATAAATCCATCAGAAATGTAATGTATGTAACAAAATGAAGAATTAGTCAAATTGAGAAGAGGTTACATCAAAAAAGACTAGCACTTCCATTTGTTCAGTCTCTATTTTCTTACCTTTCTTTCAAAATAATCCTTGATAAGTGCTACAGGTTATATTATATATAGATACACATAATATAAGTTAAATATATTAAACTATAAATTTAATATATAAAATGGGTTTGTATTTATATAAAATATATAATACACAAAATGTGCACTTTAAGTATACTAGATAAATTTATATTTATTAAATATATCCAGTGTGTATATGTGTGTGTGAGTGAGTGAGAGAGAGAGAGCGAGAGAGAGAGAGAGAGTGTATGGCATAACTAGCTATATATGAAATATCCAGAAGTATGGAAAATTGTTTTTTGTTTGTTTATATCAAAATGCCTCATGTTGTCTGAACAAAATAAGTGTTGAATAAATGTTAGTTTAGTAACATAGTGCATCCTCCAACACTAAATTTTCTGGGAAGGCATAGGCTTACTATTCTTAATCTTTCTTTGGAAGGGGACTATCAATTTAAAAATAAGTATTTCTACTGGGCTAAATGTATAAAATATATTTTTAAAACAAGAATTAATTTTCCAGGAGAAAAACCTATAATTTATGATTATTGTAACTTTAAGTATATAATACAGAAAGGCTAAGTAATGTTGTAATTGGACTGATCATGAAGATGCTATCTTTTGTACTTTGTTTTGATTTCCAACATCTATATGTTCTAGTCTTTTTAAAGAATCTGTTTTTATCATTTTCTTTTTAATAACAAATGGTGTGCATGTATGTGCATGTGTCAGGTAACAATGGCATTTGAGACTTTTGTGCAGGGTAATGATTAACACTGAATTTCATGGATTCTCTGAGCTACTTCCTTTTTTTATTTTTTGAAAGGAATTGTTTATCAATAAGAGCTTCTAATGCTGAGTTCTATAATGATTGCAATGTCCCTCCTAACAGCTGTGTTTGCTACATGTCTATTTTTAGCAGGAGTGATTATGAAAGCAGGACTACATGTCCTCTCTACCTGCATCCATCACTTTCCCTTACCTCTTCATCCTGAAAATAGCCATCCCACATACCTTTAGTGAAATGTTGATTTTTAAGGGGATCTTATTTTAAATTGCTGTGTATTCTCACCTTTTCCTAATAAGACCACTTCCTGGATAAGCACTGCATAGATACTTTAATTTTAATGGACATTTCATGTTTGAATCAGTATTTATTGGGGCTGTGATCAAAATGTCACCCAGTGCTCTGATCCTCCTTCACTTCATCTCTGCCAATATCACCACAGCTATTCATTCACCAAGCATTTATAAAACATCTATTATGCATAAGATTAAAATACAAGTCATTCCCTCTCTGTGTTTACAAAGTAATGAGAGAGGTAACAAGCAAACTAAAACAATGAGGTGATGTGCCACACCAAGTGCTTCAGCTAGACATTCCAGAGTGCTAAGAAAGTCTTAAAGCAGGGTATTAGGGTCTGAGAAATCTACCTTGAAGAGATACCAAAGGAGCAGAATGTTTAGAACATCTCCCTGCTCTCAGGCACCCAAAGACCTTCAAACAACCAATCCCTCCCAAATATACTTCCAGTTATTTCCACAATCTATCTCAAATGCTTGCTTAATCTCAATGTGGGAATCTGCCACGTTGAGTTCTTAACTGTGTCATATTTTAAAGTAAAAGTGAATATTTATCTAATAAGCATTCAGTGAGCACCTAATTTGTGCTGGTATAATACTAATGCTGGATATGTAAAAATTAATGAGACACAATTCCCACACTGAAAAAAAAAAAACTAAAACAACAAGAAAATACTTTTGGTTAATTACTAATTAATGTGGTATTTGTAGGATCACAAATGAAGCACATAGAACCCAGCAGCCATCAAGGTGGAGAATAAGAGAAGTCAGAAGTCCAAGAAATGCTCCAGGTATGAGGCAACAATTGAGTTGAATAGGAAGAAACCAGAGAAAATAGCTGCTCTAGAAAGAAGAGATAGAATAAGCAAGTCTGAAGAGTCAAGAAACAACACAGGGTTAGGTAGAAACATCTTCAGTGCAGAGAGAACTGCAGGAGTATGTTTGGGAGAACCTAAGGCAAAGTACAAAAGAATAGTAAGAGTAGCAGAGACTGGGTAATATAGGACATTATGATTCATGAGCTTATCTGTGTGTGTGTGTGTGTGTGTGTGTGTGTGTTGCAAGTGCCTTACCACTAAACTGTATCCCAAGCCCCATATGGTAGTAGTAAACAACCCACCAATTTCACTGGCTTGAAACAATTAGGGTGGATTACTCATATAATACTTCGGTCTTGAGTTTACTATAGCTCTGCTGTGTATACCTTTATTCCAGGATCCAGGTAGACCGGGACTCCCCACTTGGGACATTGCTGCTCTAGTAACAGAGAGAAAAGAGCTATGGCAGTAGCTACACAACATGTGCAGCTACTGCCCAATATGACAGCTGTTACTTCTACTCACAGTTCACTAGACAAAGTAAGCCACCCCTCTAAGCTGATGACCCTGGGGCGAGAGCAGGGGGAGTCTAATTCTGCTCCAAGGAGGAAGGGCAAATAATTAGAAACACAAATCAATCCATCAATAAAATCTTCCATACCCTTTTGCGAGGCACAGATTTTAATCTGCAGCTTTGGTGACCACCGAAGAGTTTTACTCATGGACATGACCTAGTCAGATCTGCACCATAGACAGAACAAGCTGGTTTCTATGTGAAGAGCTAAATAAGTAAAACAGAGGACAAAGTCCATGTGCAGCCTGGGATGAAAACCAATGAACAAAGTTCATGACCAGTAATCACTAGAGTTTCTAGCTTGTCACACACCAAGTCAGTGTGATTTTAGAGATTGTCAAAGGAGCACTATTTATTATCTTTTCTCAGCCCCCTACAGGCTAACGTGCAAAATCAGATATCCAGTGGTGGGCAATTATATGTCTTAAGAATTATGTAGTATAGACTGTTTATATAAATCCACATACAATTAGGTCCCCATTATCATGTTCAGAGCAGCAAAATAATATAATGAGTAGATAATAATCCCAGAGGTGCATATTACATAAAACTTCAGCAGAAAGGATTCTCAGAAAACCAAAGCTTGAGTTAAATCTTGAAATCTAAAATAATATTTGGTAAACAACGAGAAGAAGGAATGCTAACAAAAGAAATGAATGTGAGAGAAAATGGAGGTGTGAAAACTTTTTCAACTTCAGAAAATTCTATTTTTATTATGATTATAGATATTGAAATTTATCAAATGACTTTGCTATAATTTTTTAGACAAGGACACACTGATTCCTTTTTGATCTGCTTATGTGATTGATTTGATAGAATTTTCCACTGTTGAACTGGGCTTAGATTCCGAGGATAAAACCATCTAAATGAGGATTTATTTCTTTAAATTGGCCATAGATTCAGTTACATAAAATTTTATACTTTACTTTGAAACCTATGTTCTAGGCCCGTGGTTGTGTATACATATCACACATGTGCATGCACGCACGCACGCACATGTGCACACCATCCTTCATGGTTACTAGAGTCAAGTTTATACTAGCTTCAAAAAATGAATTGGACAGACCCCCATCTGTTTTAGAAACAACAATAAAGTGTTAATTTTCTTTGGTTATTTTCTACCAATATTTCTTATTTTAAGTATTTGCAAGCTGGATGTATTTTTCAAATTGTTTTATTTCATTGGTTCTCATCCCAGGTTGCACATGAAAATCATCTGGGAGAGACAGTTATATATTTTTCAATACCTGGATCCTGCCTTGTACCATAGTCAAGTTAGAATTTCTGGAGTAGAGATCAAACACCTATATTTTAAACAATTTATTTTAAAAATTTCTTCAGATGATAGTAATGTACAGCCAGATATATTCTTGAGTTAGGTTTTTCTTTTTCTTCCAGTATATAGCTTTTGGTTGAATTCTAATATTTTTTCTATTCATTCTTTGTTTGCTTTTGTCTTTATTAATTTTGTTATTTGTCTCTCAGATTATTTTGTTATTGTTTTCTAATTTTTTGAGTAAATGTTTAATGGTAAATATTTTATAGGTAAATTGTTCATGTGTATATAATTTACATTTATTATATTTATGTAACATACATAAGGCTATAAATTTTCCTCTAAGTGCTGCATTAGCTGTGTCTTTATATGTGTAGTAAGAATTGTAATGCAATTCCACTGTCATATATTAAAACAAAAAAACAAAACAAAGGAACAACAACAACAAAAAAAAAACACTAGAGCATAGTATCTGGTGCAGCTCAGTGGAGGTTAGAGCCCTTCTCCTTACCAAGCTGTGATGGGCTAGGATACTGGAGGCAGAGAGAAGGCAAGGTAGAGTCCTTCCTTCCTTCAGACTGGCTCAGAAGAAGCTGCCCTGGGGCAAGGCCCTAGTGGTTGAGCAGGACCTTAATGTTAATTTCCTTAATGTTAATTTCCTTGGGAAAGAATGGGAAGAAAAGGAGTAAACAAATAGGTCTGTTCTGCAGCTTCCCAGGTAATGTGATAGGGTAGAGGAGGCCCAGGCCACAAATGTGATATGAACAATGTCATCAACAATGGATTTTAAAAAAATGTTATAGTTCTTTCCTAGACTTTTTTTGGGGGGAGGGGTGTAGCACTCAACCATTGAGCCACATCCCTATTGTATATTTTATTTAGAGACAGTGTCTCACTGAGTTGCTTAGCACCTCACTGTCATTGCTGAGGCTGGCTTTGAACTTGTGATCCTCTTGCCTCAGCCTCCAAAGTTGCTGGGATTACAGGCATGTACCACCATGCCTGGCTTCTTGCCTAGACTTTTTAACAGAATCTTTAAATTTGCAGATGGAAAGATTTTATTATTTTTTAATTTCCTGATGGAAGGAAATTATTATAAATTTCTCAGTTTTATTACAGTGGGATTAGAGAATATTATCTATATACTCTCTGCTTTTAGAATTTTTGAGCCTTATTTTTGACCTAATATTTAATTTTGATTAATTTTTCATTTCTACTTAGAAATATGTGTTTGATATTTTCAGTGAACAAAGTTCACTTACAGCAATGAATTAAAGCATTCTTGTACTATTACCAATTACAAATTACACTAAAACTTTTACACCACATTCTGCTTTATAAACGCAGGATAATTGCTCCTTAGACTTCAGTATTTGAAATCACTCCTATACATTTTATTTAATGATTTTTTGTTATGGTTTGTATCTGTGGTATCCTACAAAATCTCATGTTAGGCAATGCAGAAATGTGCTGAGGTGAAATGTTCAAATTATGACAGCTGTAACCTAATCAATGGATTATTCCACTTGATGGATGAATAACTCGAATGGATTATTAGGTGATAACTACAGGCAGGTGGGACATGACTAGAGGAAGTAAGTCAATGGGGACATGCCTGGTGTTTTTATTTTCTCCTGGCTCCTTGCTCTCTGCTTCTCTGCCACCATGGGCTGAGCAACTTTCCTCTGCCAGGCCCTTCACCCATGACCTCTGCCTCATCTTGGGCCCAGAGCAATGGAGTCAGCTGACCATGGACTGAACATCTGAAACTATGAACCCCAAAATAGTTCTTCCTCTAAGTTGTTCTGGTCAGGTATTCTGGTCACAGCATGAAAAGCCAAGACATTTTTAAACCTGAGTTTTGCTTTGCCTAATAGTAAAATCACCATCCTCAGTTTTTTGTTTCATTTTTGTCTCCTATTTATAGGACATCGGCAGATTCTTTCACGAGGAGAGTTAAATCCTTCTTGGGAATTCACTTTGACTTACCCCACCACTCTCCTCCTTCCCACCCACCACAGAGCTTCATGATGAATTCAGCAGCAACGCCATCCACATTAAGGTAGAACACTACTAAGGACAATGGAAATAGGCAATTCATGGCAGGAGTACATGTAAGTTGTGAGCAGTCACAACTCAACCAAGAACAGAAAGAATGAGAATGGATGAGGCTAGAATTGCTCCTTTTATAATCACCTTCTCTCAAGAACTAACAAAGGGGTTTCAGGAGAAATATCTCACATCCCCATTGATCTAAGTATCTCCCTTTAGGTCCCACCTCTCATAGTCTTTCCCAATACCCTTCAATCAGAATGCACCCTTGGGGCCATAAGCCTTATTCAGAAAATAGCACACTTTACAGCCTCTACAAATATAATCATATGTGGGCTATGTGACTCTCCTCCACTAATATCCTACTTCATTAGGGTAGGGATTGGTTGTACCTATTTTACTCATTCTCAGACATCTAGTACTTACCATAGTTCTAAGCAAACAGATTCTGTTTAATATTTGTCAGAAACATTTTAATTATATATGAGAAAATAGTCTCTGAGAATTTATATGACTTTGAGCTTTGAAACTTTGTGATTATCATTGTTATGATTTGGCTCTGAAATGTCCCCCAAAAGTTTCATATGTAGAAGGATTATTCCTCAATGCAGCCAAGTTCAAAAGTGAGTATTTGGGGAACTTGTTGGATTATGAGGACTCTTTTCTCATCAATAAATTAATCCATGGGGTGACTCATATTTGAAAGAATTACTGGGAGGCTGTGGAAGCTGTGAGTAGCAGGAGCTAGTTGGAAAAAGTAGGTCACCGGGGATGTGCCCTGAAAAGGTAGATCTTGTTTCTGCCCCTTCCTCTCTTTTCCTCTACTTCCTGATTACCATGAGGTGAGCACTTTCCTACATCACACTCTTCTGCCCTGGTGCTCTGCCTCATCTCGGGTCCAAAGCAATGAGCCTGCCGACCGTGGGCTGAAACCTCTAAACTTGTGAGCCCAGATAAATCTGTCCTCCTTTAGGTAGTTTATGGCAGGTATTTTGATCACAGCAATGAAAAGCTAATGTAGTTATACTGTATTTCAGTTTTAGTTGAACCCTAAAAAGATTTTTGAGAAATTCTAATTACTCAATACATAAACGTGGAAATAAAGTCAAAGATTTATATTACTGTCTAAGACACAGCTGGATACGGACTGTACAAACATTACCCTCATTAGCTTTTGTTCTATGAGTCTCCATCTCTTCTGATTGGCTATATCCAACCGTGCACCATGACTGCTGGGTCATTAGGCCTTAGAGCACAAGACACATTTGGAGGGTACAGCTATCTCCACCAACATCACCATTAGATAGATTTTTGTCTTTAAATCAGAACCTGATGGCCCTAAGATGGTACCAAGGAAGACTTTCTTACCTCAATGTAAGCAACACCACTGTGAATTTACCATGAGAATCTCTTAAAAGACGACAGAGACACTAAAAAATCTAAACCCAAACTGGCATTTTAGAAAAACTTTTTTTTCTTTTTTTTTTTTTTAAGGACAGGAAGTAGGACAGAAGAAAAAAATGTAAAAGAAGTTAAAAGAGCAGACTTTCAAATTATTTTTCATGTTGGCGGGAAAGAAAAAAAAAATCCCTGGGAACTTTCTCAATATAGGAAGTGTGGATATTCTTGGCCTAATTCCTGTCTAGCACTTCTCTGCACTGTTCCTCTCTCCACGCCTCCCCCAGCCCCTCTGCTAAGGAGTGCTCATTTGCATAATTAAACTGCTTGACAGGGATGCTGAGAGAGTGGAACAAGGCGTGCACTGAGCCAAGTGTTCTTCAAATGCCATCCTTATCCTCATCCCTGCTGTATGTGGGAATTGCTGAAGAGACAAGGGAAGCTGAGTTCTGAAATTTGGCGTGTCTATGACATACAGTTTATGAAACCAGAAGTTTATCGTGGACCCACTGGCCTCAAGACAGAAATGGAGCTCAGCCAAGGGAGAACCATGGGGATGAGGGAGAAGTGAAATGGAGAACTTAAATGCATTTGAAAGCTCTTGGAGCTGGTCAAGGCTTACCCTTTATCTATGAGAAGAGTTAATCTTCTCCATGGTAGGCATGAAGGTGGACATAATCCATAAAATTATGGGCAGCAGCTACCAGATTCACCAGAATATCTTCAGGAAACTACTCGTAAAATGCACATAAATTATCTGATGGTTGATAATCTAGCACACATTATATTTGTAATAATTTATTAAGAATGTATTTTCTCTGCGCATAAAGGAATAAGACAAAGGGCTGATCCTCAGTAGGGAAGAATTTTGGAAAGCAAAAGGCAAGTCTCAAATCTGATAAATTTGACCTAAGGGACACTGCAATATAAAGCCAGGGGACAAAGGTTGCAAGAACTTTGCCTTCTCCAGCTTTGCCTGAGGCATTTGCTCTGCTCATGCTTCCAATCACTAGAGGTTTAAACATTAATAATGTTAACTGGGGAAATTGGATAAAGTACTTATAAGTTGAGATTTATATGGATTTTTATATGTTTTAGCAATGAAGGGAGGTATTAGCCAGAATCCAGGACAGTAGAGTTCTTCTTGGTGGAAGTCACTGGGCCATCTCCTGCAGCACAGTCTCAACCTCACTCATGTCCTTCTGAGCAACACTTGCCAACCAGTGATCAGCAGTTTCATATCCCTTATGCAGTAGAGCCTAACATTCATCATACTATCTAGGTTGAACCTCAATATCCATGGGCTACTAGTCCAAGCTAAAGCTTCTCTTATAGAATATAATCTTCATGCCAGCATACGCCTGGTGTGACCTGTTCATGGCTACATTCCCAATAATCAAACCAACACTTGGTACGGTTAGCACCAAATAAATGTATGATGGACACATAAGAAAAGAAGCCAAAGTGGAAGTTCACGAGGATAAACAACTCATCCCAGTCTTAATACTGAAAGTCCTGCATCCTAGAAGCTACCTTAGCCTTAGGCAAACTAGCAAGGCTGATGACATTAATACCCAACCAACCATATGGCTAAAACTAAAAATCTGGACATGAGAGTTTATGTAATCAGCAAACATTTCCTGAGCATCTAGTATATACCAGAAACTGGTCCAAACATTGGGGCCAGAGAAATAAACAAGACAACACATACCTACTCAAATAATACATTCAAGTATGGTCATCTTTAACATAAAATCAGATGTACATGTAATATAAAATCAGGTAGTGAGATGCTCTATGAAGAATATAGAGGCAGCACAAAATACAAAGAGTGATGGGATAGGGGTAGATTATTCCAGATAGGGTGGTCAGCACAGATCTCACCGATTTGAGCAGTGATCGGAATGAGGGAGTGAACATACAGGATATGTGGGAGATCATAAGAGGAAAAAAACAAGTAAACAGGCCCTGAAACAGGACATTTAAGGTCTGTTGGAGAAATCAAATTGGTATTATTCAAATTGCTCTTTGGGGTTGTACACCCACAGGGAAATCAGCCAGTATGAATCTCTCTCTTCCTTTGTTTACTTCTTGATTCATTCTTACTTAAAATATATCTCTTCGAGTGTCTACCATGTGTCAAGGGCCACACTATTCATTGGAATAAAAAGATGCCATTCCCTGTTCTTCCCCATACTAAGGGGAAGCCACTCCCCAATACTCAGGAGATAACTAAGGTGATAATATGAATGATTTCTGAAAGGTTTTAATGAACCTTGAAGCCTGACTCATTTCTACCATTGAGATTGCTTGGGATCTCTTGCTGCCGGGTCCCACCTATAACATTTGTTCCTACAAGTCCACAAGTAAGTTGGACAATAGAAAGGTCTTAGAAAATTCCACAGGGTATTATGGGTTTGATAAAAGCAAAAATATGGTACAACAGAAAAGAGGAAGGGTAGGGAAACATCAAAGAGATGGAATTCCCAGGATCGAATCCCAATAGCATGGACTGTAGTTTATATTTGGATTAACCACAACTCTTTAAAAATATCTTGATCTCAGAGAAACCTAGACACAAGTTTTATATCCCACAGGCTATGTGGATAAATTCAAGCTTTATAAGCCAATTAAATCACAAACAACAGAACAATACATTTTCAATGAACAATGCAATAAAAGATGGTACTAAGTGCATTCAGGGGAGTTATGGACTTGCAACACCATGTTATAAATTATTAGCACCTTCTTTTTAGCATTATATTGGCTGACAGTCAGAACTAGAGTTCCATTCATTCCCACAATTAAGGACAGTGCTTCATATACTAGATGTAAGTTAGCTCAGTCTTCACACAGTTACCAGTTCCTTTAGAGAAAGCTCCACATCTGGGTCAATTTCATCTTGTTTTCCTTTGCTATCCCTGGTTCACAATAGATGCCCCAACGGGCTGGAATTGTAGCCTCCCTAATGCCTTTGCAGCTGTGACTACTGCGGCCCTCAGCACTAAGCTGCAAAAATGTGAAATTCCATCCATGTCCATTTTCTTTCTTCTCTGGTCTATCATTCACCTTATCCAGGTCCATGAATTTAAGCATTTACTCTCACTTATGAATTTACAGCTTCCACAAGTATATCTTACTCTGCACTCAATAGCTCATTTCCCTTAGAAATCTAAATGGCATAACACATTCAAAATAAACCCCTATTTCTCTCTCCAATCCCACTCCTCTCCTAGACATCCCCACCTCAGTATGTGGCATGAAATATAATCCAGTTTTACCTCTCCCATCTGTGGGCATATAGCTCTGCATTCTTGGTTTTCCTTTGCAGTCCCTGTCTAAGCATCAGTAAGACAATTAGCTTTACTTTTCAAATGACTCCAATTTTGATCCCAACATGCTCCTTGCTAGGATTTCATTAGCAGAATGTACAAAAGAGCGCAAGAAGAAGGGCTGGCACAGCTCAGTTAACTCTGAGAACTTACTTTCCTGTGGGAAGCAGGAAGGAGGTGAGACTAAACTTGCAGTGCTCAGGAACCAAGGACTAAGAAAAAGAACTAAAGTGATAAGTCAGGTGGGTATTTAGGGGCAGGAAGCATCAAATGAAACATC